AGCAAATACCAAAGGCTGCAAACAACAAAAAAATCAAATAACTATCAATATTATAGTGGTATATATTATAATGAGCAGTTTTAGAAACACACAAAAGACCAATGGGACTGCAAAAAGGTATAATGGAAAAAAATACGGGACCTTCACTGGATTATCTTCATCCATTGGTTCAACACGTGTATCTATAACATATTCAGACACAGGGACAGTAGCCAATGTTTCCTGATATAATTTAAAAAATGGTAAGAGATTTATTTGGAAATTATGGTAAGTGTTCACATTATATAGTTTATAAAAGTGACCAAATATTCCTGTCCATCATATCAAGAAACAGATGGTAACTATGATATATTGTTTGAAGGTAGACCTTAAGAGGGTTATATGCAGCTTTGGGTTGCCTGGAGGTATCTACCACAGACTGAGGTGCATATAATCTATAGAATTCATCCTTGGAGTTGAAATTTAAAGATAATGGTTAGAATACACATATCAACTATGTTCGGTTGCACAAATTCTCGGGCTTGTAGTCCTAATTTAGAATGCAGTTTATGAGAAGATTTGATGGCAGTTAGGTTGTAGTACCTCAAATTGTTTTTGAAGCTTCGTTGTAAGAGGTTGAATAATGTCAGCAGCCATTGGAGATTTGATGGCAGTTAGGTTGTCACTTTTATCGAAACTGGGATCATAATCAATGTGCTTAACCTGTAAGAATAGTTAGGTTTAACTGTTAAACAAGAGAGAAAAAAAACTGGAATGGTCGCGTTTAATACTAACCACACATGTATATGTGTGCAATTATACCTTGGAGCAAGATGGATTGTATTCGTTACCCTCGAGAGCATAAGGGGTATTCAAACAAAGGGAATCTTTGTTGGCAGTGTCATAAATGGGATTTCCTTGATGTGTATCAGGCTTATTAGGCTCTTCTGATGGGAGTGGGGTAATCAAGACATCCATGGGGTCATCACCAAGCACCTGATTGTCATATGTGAAGCAATGATTAATTAAAGGGTAAGTTTAAAGAGTAGCAATAAACCAGAACACATACCGGGGTTTTAAATGTCGTTCTTTCAATGGAGTCCTCGACAAAACCATCAACCACATCAGGGATGCCCAACTGGCCAAATACCTCCCGGTATTGTTTCCAGTTGTGCTGAACTCCATCACCAACCAATATATCTTCAGGAGATTGAGGTGCGACATCCGATGTATCGAAATTCTTGTTGGATTGTGGCTGTTTAGAAAGGTAAAAAATGTTTAATATTATATAGATATTGTAACACAATAAGTAGGAAACAAAAAAAATATAAAACAGTCATACCTCCATATCCAGATCAGTGTTTGTTTGCTCGATCCCGGAGTTATATTCGGACTGATTGGTGTAGCCTTCATTATTGTTTGCCATAGGCAAATCATTGTCTGATTGTGATCCGAAATTGTCAGCATTGACTTTGGTTGCGCAGGGATCCTGTAATGTTAAACCACTTTTTATATTAATATTATAGTTCTAGATAAAGCTATGTGAGTGGTAGAAGATATAAACCTCCTTAAGAAAGCCTTCATGTATGTGTGGGTTTGATAAAAATTCATTGCTTGAACGATCATTCTGGTAAGAAATAGAAGTTGTTTCCATAAGGTGAGGGGCAAACAGTGTCACTCAAGGAAGGGTAAGATAAATACCTCATTGGACATATCATCCAGAGTGGTCTGAGATTTTACAGGAACTTTAGCTTGCGTCATGCGCCTGGATCTGGAGGCATATTCACCACATCTAGAAGAGAGTTTCCTAGAGCGCTTGAATATGATTGCCTTATTTATTTTTTCTAGCTTCAATACACGCTTTGATAGCTCTGCCACTTGGTTTTTCAGTTCCACCATTAAAGAAGAATTCTCATCATCACATAGAGTTAGAGAAGACCGGCTACGGGTAGCATAGCGATGCTTTGATTTTGGAGACTGAGACTTCACACGTAGTCGCGTGTTAGATTTCTTCTGCCCTGGTTTCTTTTTACGCTCGACAATGTGCCTTTTATGAACAACTGCGACTTTATCTTTTGGGATGGAAATGAATGGTAATGAGTCATCACCTCCTGGCCATTCAGATTTATTGAAATTATTTGATCTGAGTATCAGCTCCGACATATAAGCTACTTTCTTGTCTTTCACCTCATCATCCCACTCCCCCCAAGATTTGTCAACATTTTGTCCAAGAATAATATAAGGATCCACTTTGTCCTGACCAAACAGAAGGGTAAATTGAGTAAGAAAGAGGGAATGTAAAGATGAAAATAGGTAGGTTGGAAACTTATACCTTCAGGTGGTGCTCAAGAGCGTGAATTTGTGAAAGAGAAATTAATTGTTTTGGCAGAGAGACTTTATTCCAGTGTTGGATAGTCATTGAGGTGGAATCATCAGTGACCAAATCAACCATGCCAGGAATGTTTCGAAATGCTAGGAGTTGCAACGCAAGCGGAAAACCTTTCAGACGGAATGTGATCTGCTGAAGTTGTTTGGCGAAATTCTTCACAGGATCAGTTGACACCAATTTTTTCCCAGTGCCTGATGGTACAATACGTTTCCCGGGTCTCATGGATGCTATTGTCTTCATAAATGACTCTCTACCCCAAGGGAAGGCAAGGAACGCTTTAATATCTGCCAACATCTCAACATATTTAAATGTGGGCCTCCCAGTTTGGTTTGAGGATATGAGGACACCATCAACAATGAGGAGATACGCAAGCTTAACTCTGTGTTCAGGAGTCAAGGGTTTTTTGGGTTTGAGGAGCATTTCAGATACATCACCTAAGGTTGCGTCCTTATCTTTCCCTATTAACTCGTTCCAGTAACAATCCTGCCCTTCAACATAAGTTGGCTCACTTTCTGGATCATAGTCCTCAAGAAATTCACCGCAGGGCAAACCAGTTAAAGCACCAAATTCAATTAGGGAAAATCTCAGGGGTTGTCCACCAAACACAGTCCATAATTCATACTTCTGTTTGGTTATCAACTGCCTACATAGCAAAGAATGTATCAGCTTGCAAGAACTAGGGCTTCTACTTACCGGCAAGTCGAAGAGAGGACCGAAGCAAGATTGCAGAATAGTGTCGAATTCCGGTGTCCCATGGAAAATAGACCGGATAAACGAAAGAATGTCGGGTTTACAATAGACATTTAGCCTCGCTTTGGGATAACGATCAGTGGCGAAAAGTCGAGTGGGAAGATTTAAATCCCATTCTGAAGAAGCTTGCTTTGAAGTCGAGGCTGCAGTTGGTTTTTGAACTGGTTAATTGCATAAATTAGTTATGAGAACATGAGCATTGGGTTCAATAATTACCTTCCATTAGGGAGATGCGTGGAGTTTCTGATAATGTGAACACTTCGAAGACAATGATGTACAGCACTACGAAAGCGATGAGTTGACGAGAGAGCGTAAATGGCCGGAGAGCTGACGGAAACCAAGGAAATGGCGGGTCAGATTTGAGCTTTAAACGGGAGAATCAAGAAACGGTAAAGAAGTTGAGAGAAGAAATTAGGGTTTTTTACAGTGGGGGGGGGGGAAACCGTAACAAGTGGGGAGGATAGAGACAAAGGCAAACCAGGTTCGGTTTGTAGGAAGAGAAACAGAACCGGCTGTAGAACCGGATTGGAGGGTATAATGGAGATTTGGCAAAGTGAGAGTGCCTTCTCCCTTGAAGGTGCCTAAAGGCACAAATAAGTCCCACAAAGTGCCTTATTATGCAATAATTCCTTAATTAAATGCTCTCAAAAATATCGTAGGTAAGATTTTAGAAACTAACATTTGAGTGAATATAGAGATATTTTGGCAATATTGTTATACGGCAAATCTTAATCTTTAAATATGAAAAAAATAATTAAATGCAGTGGCATGAACTCGTAAATACATCCCAACTCCAGGATTTATTTACTAAATGTACTCCAAAAATGTATATATAGATTTGTAGAAAATGTAACTCAAGGTTTATTAAATAATATATATAACTCAAAGTCTCAAACGTAAAACTAGGTTTGTTAATATCAATTTTGATGTTTTATAAGAAAACAGAACAATTGATTTTATTTTTTCTTTTAGAAAATAGTATGGTTTATCGATCATGTATTTGTATCACCGTATCAGTATATTATGACATTTCACACAAATAAGAAAACATTGTACTATTATACATATACGCCCTTATTTAATAAGTAATTAATGGTTTAAATTAAATGACAAGTAGCTCAAGCTAATGATAAATAAGGAAATTTAGTGTAAAAATCACATTGAAAATGTAGAATGACATTTTTAGTGAAACAAAAATAAAAATCTAACATTTTTTGTGAAATAGAAGGTGTACAAAATAATAATACTTTGGTTTAGTAAAAAATAGAAGATCATGAATAGTGAATATTTTTTTGGTTGGCTTGTTTGAATAAAATTCCAAAAACAACCAGAATAAATTCATGTGCATAATGTAGCACCTCCTAGCTACGTGCATTATATATGCACCTTTCATTTCCGGGGTTAAATCTATAATTTATACATATAAGCATGCTTCATGGCTTCATGCCCCTCTCGAGGAAATAAAATAGTATAAATTTATAATTTATTCAAGACTAATTATGAACATATAAAACTGTTATAAATGTACGACTCTATTGGAAGACGAGCCTATGCAGCAAAACCAAAACATTAATGAGCAATTGGAAATTGGTAGAAAGATCTACAAGTACGAAACACCCTTTACTTCAAGAGAGCAAGACAATGCCACTTGCAAACTTGAAAGATCATTTCATCTTTTCTCCAAATGTTTTGTTTTCCTTTGTTATATTTCTCCAAAAATCTTGGAACAACAACTACATTCACAAACGAGAGAATTTTCACAACACCTCTTTTGCTCTCATATTTTTTGGTTATTTACGTTCATTATTAGTATTATTAATGGTTAGAGTGAATACGAAAGTGTGAATGGATTGTCTCATCTAAAGCCTTGAATGTGGGAAAAAGGCCATTGTTGTTCAGCCAAGGATGACTTGCCGGTAGCTTTGTATATAACTTTACTCTATATTCGGTTTATATTATGGAGATTATGCTTTATATATATATCTACATAGTTTTAATTGATTTTTTTTCGTACGTAATATAAATATATAATACGAAAAAGTAATTACTTATCTATATATGTGTGTTGGGGTGAGATGTGTAACAAAGCAAGCCCGGCAAATCATCTCTGGCTATGCAACTGCCTCTTCCTCTCATTCTAGGCTTACGATGACACGTATAAAATCCCATAGATCACTATTATGAGATGAATATGGATGAGTTATATTATGGTGATGGTCTAATGAGAGTTTTAATTTTAGATTTTGAGTCAGTAGGGTGTTGTTATATATCTATTTGGGTTAAACACATACATTTTTTCTACATTTTGTTAAAGTTCTGTAAACTATATGTAAATGTTGAGAAAGTTATCTTAATTTAGTAGTCAAATGGATTTAATTTCGAGTTCTAGGTGGAAAGTTCATTCTCATGGCTTTGTCTTTGTCTAATTCATAAATATCATAGCAAAATTATTTCAATATCAATGGTTTTTTTTTTCTTTTTTTTTTCTTTTTCAAGAATTCGTCTTGCGCCTCCGTATGGTATTGTATGTTTAAATCACAACTCTGTTACATGATCTTATTAGTTGATTTGGCAAGTACGACAAGTTTCTAAAGTTTAACATACATATATGAAGTCCCTACATATATACTACATTTTATAAGATTTTACAATTAAATGATTCGTTCTAACTTTTTGTTCTTTCTTTATTGACAGCTAAGATATAGTACAAAGTCAAAAATCAACTTTGGCTCAACATGTAGGAGAGTACTGTTATGTCAGTTAATATTATTATAATTATTTATTTTTTTTATCTATATTCTAAAAAACGGTCTAGGCGGCTGTCTAGGCTCCGACTAGGCGTTTGTCGTTTAGACAACTCCTAGATAACATAGTTCTAATTCTGGATCAGATATGAAGAATATACAAGAGTTATTTGATTAACATACTCAGTCAAGTCAAGAATACAACAGGAAGCAAAAGAAAGAACTTCACACACACACAAAATAGAAGGATAAATCCAAGATTAATTCAAAAGCGAACACGGCAATTGTTCAGAGCAAGAGATTAGGTTGGGAAGCGCATGCATAGGCTTACTTGAGGAATACTTTGACTAAAACGTAAAGCATAATGGGTGTAGCCACTGCAAAAAATTCCTTGATCTTCATGGTTTTCACGATTGACTGGCTCTCTTTGACATCATCCTCTATCCCATGATTCTATAACAACGTTAGAACATTGGTTAAAGCGATACCAATTGTCAAAAAGACCATCTCAAACTATTTGAAAGCTAATTGTGATTTATTTTCATTCAAATTGTATATATTTAATGAATCAATGAATATAAAGTAAGAGAAAGTCTTGTTCTCATGCACTAGTTTTTAGCCGAGTCAATGGTGTAGTAGATAAAGAAAAGTAGTCTACTTCATGGAAGATCCCTAAATTATCATTTTATTTGCCACTTAGTTCAATTAACATTGTTGGGAATATTGAAAGATATATTTTTACAGAAAAGCTAGAGGACCTATATGAATGAATCAATGAATGTGAAGTAAGAGAAAATTCTACCATAACTTGGGTACGTTGGAGAGACTCTTTCTGACTTTGCAAGTTCTCGAGTATTGAAATACCAATGTTTTCAGTCTCCAGCATTTTTCTTCGACTCTCCTTAATTATCTCTCTTGTTCTAACCAAACCCTCGGTTGATTTCATCAATCTTGATCTTCGATCAGCTGAATCCTTAACTCAATATAAAGAGACCAAAATGTGTTTTACTAGCAAGAACAAGATTATATTACGATTGAACAATACCGTGTCCTCACATACCGTCTTTTCAGTAGTATCGTTCAAGTTTTCAGATGTGTTCCACTTGATAACACTCTTAAATCTTTTTAGACTAGATTTGGATTCCCTTAATTTTTCAAGGAGGATGAATTTAATATTGGGTGGAAGGTTACTTGCTGCATGATCCATTTTCGAAATCTGGTGAAAGAAAAGGAAAATCATCAAAAGGAAAAATAAAGAAAAATGGAGAAGACTTCTATATACATACCAATTGGTCTGCATTTTCCAGATCAGATGTTATTTCAGCCAGCTTCTCCTTCTTCTCTCCTGTAAATTAGGAAAGTATCATCGATGTATATTAAGCTATGCAAAAAAAACATAAATGATGTTGATTTAAAACGCACAATACCGCTTCAAACATAAACCAAAATATCACTAATACATTCTGAAACATGTAAAGGTTGATTTAAATCTTCTTTTTTCCCCCTACAGTTCTCTTAGAAAACTAATAAAAAGTCTTAAAGATCACGAGTTCAAGTATCCACGACAGAGAAGAAACTCTAAATTAACTTCTTCTGTTCTCATAGTTTGAAAAGATTTTATGCCTAAGCGCCAAAACTTTTTGGTTATTAAAGAAAAGAAAAAAAAAACGAAGCAAGAGATTCGAGATAATATTACTTTACCTCCTTTGAGTGAAAAGGCCAAGGAACACTTCTTTGAAAGATTTACCGAGAGCTCGCTATATTGCCGATCGTATTCGTGGAACACATTACTCATTGTGAAAAATCAGCAAACTCAACGATGATGGAAACTCAATTCTCAAACCTGATAGAGAAAGAATAACATTGTAATAGCTAAGATCACTATAGCATTTAGAATACATAAACGGAAACTATGAGAACAATCAATAACCGAAAACCATCAATAAGATTATTGTACACGATGGGAATCAGAAGAAGAAAGAATTAATATCCATGATTGTTGTCTAAAAAAAAGAAACAAAACCAAACTCAAACCCTAACATATTGTGTGATATGAATGAAATAGAGAAAAAGAAGCCACAAAGTTAAATTCACCAACCTCAAGAGATTAATTGATGAGGTTATTAGGTGATCATAGAAATTAAATAGTAAGCCGGAGCAGAAGCGAATTAAGCACTAAGTTTGGAATATTTCAACCTTTTGGAAAATTACTAAGACAAAAATCCCGCAAATTTTAGAATTATTTAAATAGTGTTTGAACTTTTTAATTGTTATTCTTCGGTTGAATATGCTCTTGAAGTAACGCAACAAAAATAGACGTGGATGGAGAACCATTTTTTGTTTCAACCAGCTAAACTATATTAAGTTGACAGTATTAAATGGATTATCCACCTACCACCCAATAAATATCATAACACTTGATATAAACCTAAGGACCTCTTCGTTTTGGTATAAATTTTCAAAGATTAAATTTATATGGCCTGTTCTCTTCTTCTTCTTTTTTTTTTTTTTTTCATGTTAAACAATTTCGAAGACAATGTCCTGAATATATTAGGAAGAAGAAAAGAGTATCAAAAACAATATATTAGACTTCTTTCTCTCTTTCGAAAAGCCAGGATATGAAACTTTTCAAAAAGAATCAGAGAACAATCTTGTAGGATTTTTTCTTGCGCTTCTCTACAATGAGTTCTCGGAAGAAAAGAACAAAGCTGAAGATCATCCTTCTCGGAGATAGCGGGTTATGATTAAACTTTTCTCTAATGTTTCAAGATTTCCCTTAAAATCTAGATTTTTCACTCTCACCTTTTATGCCGATTTTGTTTCAATTTTCAATTTCTTTTCTTTGGAAGGAAACTATTATTACTTTTTAAACGTTTCCTCGGTTATTTTTGTCTTTTCTAACTCTTTATGCAGGGTAGGCAAAACATCATTGACGAAACGGTATCCTCTTTATAATCCATATTCCAAGCTATTACAATTCTCTCCCTCTGATACCCTAACTTGTGACCTAAGATATCATGACAAGGAATTTAAGATGCAGTATAAGTGTACAGTTGGAATAGATTTCCTCGACAAGGAGCTTTGCATCGACAAAGAACCAGTCACTTTACAAGTAAATGTTAAGCTATTCCTTTCTTCACAACTTATCTTTTTTTTTAATTCAAAATCTATTTTTTATTTTACAGTTTTGGGATACTGCTGGACAAGAAAGATTTCACAGTATAATGCCAGGGTTCTATCGAGACGCAACTTGCTGTGTTCTTGTCTACGACGTTAATATTCTCAAATCGTTTGAATCTCTCGACGTCTGGCATGCCCGGTTCGTCGCAGAGGTGCACTACCGTTTCCTCTTTGCAATACATAACCGTTTTGAAATTATTTAATTGAAATCCTTCTTATGCAACTTCTTTTTTTTTTTTTTTTTTTGAAATTTAAATTTGATGTGGCTATATTTTTTTTTAAGAATTTAGAATCTCTTATATTCATTCATACAGATCTTTATAATAATATATACTAGGTAAGAACTCCTCAACATTGGCTTATTTGAGTTATTAAATATAGTTGTTGACAAAAAAAGGTAAGAACCCGTGTATTTTTTTTTTGGTAGGCGGTAAGAACCCGTGTATAGCGAGACTAAATTTTATGGTATTTAATTTATTATATATATATATATATATATATATTTGATTAAATTATTATTAATTTTTTTAAGATGTTTGTAATTTATAAAATTGTTGTGTTTGGTTTTATCATACAAATTTATAATTTTTCTAAATTTGGATTGGTGATAAATTAGCAATATTTGTTTCATCTTATGTTTACTTAGTAGAAGATTATTAAAATTTGTTTTATGGATTTTATTAATTATATTTGTCTTGTAAGAAAATTTAATTTTAGGAAAGTATTTTTGTAGTTTGAATTCATTAAATTCCAGTTTATATATCAAAAATTTTGTTCACATTTATTGGTAAGATTTAATATTTGAATTTTTGAAATAATTATTTTTGGTATGTTTATGATTGTTATGTGCTTGCCCATATATCTTGACTCATTTTGACACCCTTACTCTTTGACAATTAGTATTAGAATAATCAAAATAAGTATTATTTGCATATAAGAGTAACCAAAACTCTCTTGGGGCATTTACAAAAATGCTTTTTTTCTATACCTTTTTTTTTTAAATATAATCTTTTTCTTTCTTATAACTTCTAGGTAGATCCTATCACACCTGAGAAGGATCGAGTTCCCTTTGTTTTGATAGGGAACAAAACCGATGTTAAAGGCGGAACATCCCGAGTTGTAAGCTTATCTATGTATCTTGTCTCTGCAGTTACCCCCATTTCTAAATTCTAAAGTCCACGGATTTATCTTACGCAGGTTGAA